AGCTGGATGTAAATGCCTTTTGGAAGTTCACGTTCTGACTTGTTACTGTTTACTTTGCTCTACGTGCAAACAGTTTGCTCTATCCTCTGCATTTGCAGTGACTTCCTGTTGTGTTTTGTTCGGAAAGAGCTTAGTGCGTTTGTACGATGCAGTAGAAGCCAGGAAAATACATTTCCTCATCTTGCCAACACACTCTCTAGAAAAGCTGAGAATTGGAAAAATGCAGGCTATGAAAGCAGCTTGCTTAATAGACAAAGGTATAAAGGAAGTATCTCTGGATTTAAAGAACATATCAAAACTCTTCAGTAAAACACTAGGTTAATCAGGAGAACGGTGGAGAAACTGGCAATAGAGTCAAGTAACTCTTGAATCAGTGTTGGTAGCAGTCAGCTTGGTCATATCTTTGCTCATTTGAGTTTCTGCTTCTTTGAGAGACCCTTGGATACCTTTTTCCTGTGTTAAATGGTGACAGCAGTAAATTTAAGAAGCTTGATTTAAAGTCAAAAGCCCAACTTAGTAAATATTAGTGATCATGTGGAGCCCACTGAGGCACAGAGAATACTTTATCAGACCAGAAATATCAGGGGAAAGACACTAAAACTGCAAATTTCGAAGCTAGTTTAGTTGTCAAGATAACATTCTCTTAACAGCAAATTTCAATATGTCAAGTGTCCTATTTTTCAAACTGAGAACTAGATCTATAGCTTTTACTACTGTGAAGATTTCAGTCTTGCCATGGAGTTTAACTTATCACTTTTTTTTAATGAAAAATGAGTGTTCTGTGCTGGTTCTGTCTAGGTCTTACTGCTCTCTGGTTTGATGGCTTCAGTCTCTGTTTCAGTCTGTGGTCTATGTGATCTTTAGCAACTGCTTAATAGGCCATAAGAGCATATCGGATTCTAATGATCTGTGTCTTAACTTTGGTATAGGACATGCTTTTAAGAAGAGCTGAATGAAAGCTGTCCAAGGAGAACTTCAGATAGTCCTAAGTGCCAGGAAAGGTCTGTGAACAAGTCGGATCTCTGTCCTAGGTTGTGCCATAGGAACTTATAATTCCTCTTGAAGGAATCATGCTGGTTGGATTTGGCTTTCTAGCAGGTCTGTTTCTCTTTCTTCCCCCTTAGGCTTATCAGCAGTTTGAGGCAGAGGACAACATACAGATGGAGGGTGTTCCAAACTTGATAAAAGCCATCAGACTTGGGAGGTAAGCCCTGATTTTTGAACAGGCAGGGTAGGCGGCTTTTACTGCCTAGTTCTTCGTAATCCTCTCAGGAGGCAGATATTCCAGAGACTTCTCTCTAGCTTCCTATAATATATAATCTCTTTGTTTGTTTGTTTTTAGGTTTGTTTGGTTTGGTTTGAGAGGAGTTTGGTTAGGATTGGTACATAAGGTTGTTGAGTGTGTATTAGGCTATCGAAAGTGCTGGAGAATGTTGCAGGTAGACCTTGAGCATAAGTCTATGTGGTGCTATTGGAGTGAATGCTTTCTCATCTGTTTAAGGTTACTAGAATGTTTGCATTATGTGCTCATATTTATGTTGCTAAACTGTTTTTTAATGAGGTTCCCTCTTCCCTCCTCCCGCCCCCCCCCAGAAGTCGATATCTCACAAAGTTTTAAGATGAAATCAGTCTAGACTAGCAAGCATGAATAGTGGTGGTGTTCTGTGTGTGTAGTCTTACGTAGTGTAAGATATCCTTCATCCTTTAATAAGGATGTTCATGACTTCATAAAAACATAGCTGAGACAATGACTATTTAGCTTTTAGGAGCTATTCTCATGTTGCAAAATACAATGGACGTTTCATGCATGTTGCAGTGACTGACGGAGCTAAAG